CAGATCTGGTACTGGCTGTGCTTTACCTGCCCAAACCTCCTTTACTGACAACCCTAGCAATGATTTATATCCCTCAGGCACACCGCCTGTATGAGCATCACCCAAAAAGGAACAGTAGGTATATACTACCTGAGAGCCACTATGTAAAACCAGAAAGTGACAGTAAAGACTCATAAAGCAACTGTACACTTATGCACATCTAGGTTTCAGTGAGCTAGCTGGACTAGTCCAATTAGATTATCCGCTACCACCCCCAACTCTGCTCGCCAAGACAGCAGAAGCAGAGACTGCTAGTTAAAACTTCCTACAGGTAACCGCTCAACCAGCTCATGTTCAACACTCTGGGAATGAGGGAGCGAGGATGCGAGGTAGGAAAGCACTGGGAAGTTGACTTCACAGAAATTAAGCCAGGGCAATGAAATTACAGGTATTTGTTAGTTTTTGTAGATACTTTTTCAGATTGCATAGAGGCATTCCCCACCAAGAAAGAAACTGCTCAAGTAGCAGGTAAAAAGTTGTTAGATGAAATAGTCCCTAGGTGGGGGGCGCCTGACACCATTAGGTCAGACACTCATCGTGGATTTGTTGCTTAAAATGTTAGACATTAATTGAAAATTATGCAATTCCTATCACCCTCAGAGCTCAGGGCAAGTTGAAAGGAAGAATCAGACCTTAAAACAGACTCTAGCTAAATTAACTCTAGAGACTGACCCTGGTAGGATGGCTTCCCTGCCCTTAGCATTTTTACACATCTGTTATATGCCATTTAAAATCCAACTAACTCCCTTTGAAATTTGGTTGGATGAAGTCTACCCTTAGTAATCCTACCACCCAATTCCTCAGAAACTAAAGTGTCTATACAAGTTTTCATCCAGAAGCTAGAGGCACTCCATCAGATACAAGGTGGAGATTGTAGAAAGGTCAGGGCAGAGTACAAAAAATCCAGGCCTGTGGACCCTCATTCCTTGTGCAACCCAGGAGACCTTGTTATGGTAAAAAGACATGGGTCTCACTCACTAGAGCCCTGCTGGAATGGCCCTTACATTGTTATTCCTTCTTCTCCTACTGCCATTAAGCTAGCAGGACACCGACCATGGGTCCATTGGAGCCATTTAAAGCCTGCACCACCTGAACCCTCCAAGTGCTGAAGGATTCACCCCCACCTGTCAGGTGACCCACTAAAGCTCACCCTCACTACTGAAGATGATAGCCCTGCTCCTCCCTGTTCTCCTCCTGCTCCTTGATGCAGAAACCAAGCACCAACTTGTCACCGCTGTACGGACCCTCAGACAAATTACAACTGGGCAACCTGTAGCCCTTTACAATGGTCCAGGCACCCCAGTGTTTAACTTTGGTCTCTGTTTCCTGTGGCCGGTGCATGCAACCTATTGCTTGCACCCCTGGTTTAGAAAAGAGGTGGACATGTATGCCTGTCTGGCAGCCGGCCCATCCTCCTGCCATGGGAAGAGACAGTTCCTTTGTGTCCAGTAAGGTTGTGTAACTGCTGTCTCTTTAAATTCATTGAATAATTTTCAAGATAAATGCTGTCTCTCACTGAGTCCCTTTCTTTCATCTGCCATGTAGACTTTTATTTAATACACTTGTAAAAATGCTATGTGCAGTATGAAATTACCCATATAGGAAAGAAATTTTATAGAAAAACACTAAAGAAATATTGAAATGATGGTTGTTTTTTGGTGAATTGGATTCTCAGAGACTTCTCTTTGTACATTTCAGTATTTTCCAACTTCCCTATAATGTGATAGATAACAGCTGCTTTTGTTTTCTAAACCAGCCAGACCAGACAGAGCTACATGGGTCTGCACCTAACAATTAACTTTAGCAAGGGGAAAGGAGGATGAATATGTATATTTATGGATATTCACACAAAAGTCCCAATGACTGGAGGGCCTGGCACCTTGGAGTGCTTTTCAAAGGCTTTTTCTGCATTGTGTGTGTGTGTGTGTGTGTGTGTGTGTGTCTTAGAAGTAGGTGGGTCCTTGATCAGTGAGAACATGCATCCTCAGGAGAGGATTAGTATGTTCCAGGGGATAATGGAAACTCCATGCTAGGAACTCTCCAAGAACTTGCCTGATCTATCTCTTCCTTTATGTCCTTTATAGTTTTAAGAAACTATTAGTATAGATAATACCCACTGCCATCTTTTTTACAGGTTTATTGGCAAATAATCCCCATATCGTATAATTCAATAGTTCAAATATATGAAGAATTCTAATTTAATTACTACAATCAATTTTTAAAACATTTCCTTTTTTATGGTTAAGTCAATTTAAAATAAATAAATAAAGTGGTAAGATAAAATAGTAATAGTATTACAAAGATGAAAAACAAATAAAGTGCAAGAATGAAAAGGCAAAAAAAAAACCAACTTTAAGAGCCAGACATGAAATGTTTATAATGTAACAAGCAAGAAATACTTGCCCCTAGAACAAATTCACGTTGGATCAAGAGGAGGTCAATTGATCAAGTATCAAGTTCAACCCAGCATAATCAAGATGACAGTGATCTCTATCTGCTACTAAAGTTGTTTCAGAGCCTTGCCTGTAGCCAGAGGGAATCTGCAAGAGACTGAATCTGACTAGATACTCTGCATATGAGTTGGGGGTCCCACTGTCTTCCACAGTCTTCTGCAAATTGAGTGTTCCCAATTTAAGCATGATACTTCTCTTTGTCATATTTGAATTTGTTATTGTCATCTTTGGATCACACAAGCTGGTGTGCTTCTTCAATGTAGACTCAGTTGACTCCTTGCTTAGATGGCTGTGTTCTTTTTTTCTTTTTCTTTTTTTTTTTAATAAAAGCCTTTAAGACCCAGACACTATTCCGATTGAAATCTGGGCACCATCTGCTGTCTTCACCACACTTCGCTGCAGCATCGTTATGTTCAGTGATCATTTCATGACGGTGATTGTAGAACAGAGTCATGTAATCAGAGCTAACTATTCTCTGATTGGGGCTAGAGGTAAGTGGGATCCCAGAATCCTCTGTTTGTCCCTGACATATGCATGACTCAAGTTTAATTTGACGGTCATATGGTGACAAAATCAAACATCATTAGATCAACTATACCAACAACAGCAACAAACCAACCAGCAAAAACAAACAATATTCCAATCTAACTGACAGCAGGAAAACAAACAAACAAAACAACCTTAGAAACAAAAAAAGTAAAACATTGTGAATTATTCTTCTGGAGTTTAGGGTGATTTCACTGAAAACACCAGCAATTTTCCAGTGACAGCACTCTGGGCACTGTCAGGATGAGGAGTCTATGGGAATCTAATTCCACCATGAGCCGCAACCATAGTGTTTTCCCTACACAGTTCTGTCTCACATTTGATTGAGCTCTGTTTACCTTAAATATGGGGATCGGTTCCAGGGGGGAAATTCCTGGGTCAATTCTTTCAAGTCCAGATCCCTGCCCAACAGATCAGACCTGTCATGTCACTAGGAAGGCAGCATCGAGGTACCGAATAGACAGTGATTTTGAGTCTCTTTCCATTGACTACCCGAACACGCTGGAGGTTCCCCCAAGGCCCAATGACTGCCACTTCCACAAGCAGTAGGGAAAAAATCTGCTTCATCTCCCATTTGAATACTCCGGTTCTCAGACCAAGACAACTTTAAGCAGGGCTCAGTTCCTTCAGACAGGCCTCTATGTAAGTCGTCCTAGTGTAGGCCATGGGTTAGGCCATGCTGCCTGCAAGGTTACCTTCCAGGGTCACTATGGTGCTTAGTCCATACTGAAGTTCACTAAGGATTGAGGAGAAACATATTCAAAACATATTCTACCCAGGAAAAAGAAAGTTAGTCCATTGCCAACAGCCAATGTGTAGCATCCATTCCCAACGTGAGGTTACTTCTCCCCAACTCATGGCACACTAAAAGTATAAAACTTGCTCGAATTAACAAATAGACTAACTTTTTCTGGAACCAATGATGACCACTTATTCTGTTTTCTTCCCTATATTTCAAACAATAACATTATTACATATTTTTTAAAAAGATATAATGTTACAAGGGTGCTGGAATTCTCCCCACAAAGCTGCATCCAGAGTCAGGCTCTTCGAATGCTTCTCTTTGTTATTTGGCAATATGCAGCGAAACCTGTATCTCAAATGACAACGGGCCAAAACTATTCTTCCCATTTGGAATCCATGTTGTGCCAGTAGACATCTGGGAGACTTCAGATGCTTAAGATTAGCTAACTCCTTTTCTGCCTCTGGCAAATTTCAAGCCCATACAACTTTCTAAAACTAAAATTATTACAGAAAAAAATTAAAAGGAAGTCGTTTTGATTGTTTTAGGAACGCTTGCTATTACATCCTCTCCAGCTACCTACCTTCTACATAGTGCTTCTGTTAGTGAATACAACAGGGCTGGCCATTAGGAACAGACGTGGGTACAATACAATATTAATACTAATTGCCAGCTTCGTTTTTATTATATAAATCAGGAGTGGTGTAAAAGGAAAGGGGCAGGGGAAATAATTCTCTTTGTTGCTTAAGATAGTAGGCTTTTTTTTTTACTATTAAGATGGAATGCAAAGAAAAACAAAAGATGGAATGCAGTACCATTATCTGGCATGAGAAATATACAGTCTCAACTGGTCAGGATCCATCCAGTTTGAGTTGATGAGGCAGTGAAGTGGGAAGGAATGTGAGGAATGTCCCATTTTGTTTGGGGCTCCATTCCACTCCTGGCCCAGCTAGGGAAGCCCTGAGCGTATAAAAACCCAGTCCACCAGCCCCAACCTCACACAAGTCTTCACACCAAGAGGAGGCAGTCACTGCAACTCCAACCACAGGATAGAGACCACCTGCAACCTGACACCAGAGAACCGGTCAACAGCATCCAACACTGCAGACAGACCAGTGCATCCAGGCACGCAGCTCCAAGGAAAACCCATCACAGACCGCCAACCCACCTGACCTCCAGCGTCTGTGCTGCTGCAGCTGTCCGCCCACTCTGCCTCACCCATGCCTGCCACTAGCATGGGCTCTGTTCTCTTCTGGGTGTTGCTGCTTGCCCTCTGCAGCTGTGTAAGCAAGGCCTCCACTGTCTTGGCCACAGCTTCTGGGGCACTCACAGCTGGGAAGAAAGCAGGTTTGAGTCTCGGTGCAGGCCACATTCCTGTGCAGACAGCCTCTGGTCAAAATTGCAATGGGCCATGCCACTGTGACTCCACAGCAAAACTCAGCTGCCCTGCAGGAGTGAGTGTGGTGAGGGATAGCTGCAACTGCTGCCCCATGTGCGCCAAGCAACAGGGCGAGTCCTGTGAAAAGCCGGACCGCTGCGACCACAAGAAGCTCCTGTACTGTGACCTTGGGACCCCACCGAACCGCACGACTGGAGTGTGCAAAAGTAGGACCTGCAGCCCCAACCCCTGAGCTACTTGTTGTCCAGCTGCCTCCTCGCTCAAATTCCCCACACCCCACTCCCCGAAACTCCAAATCTGAAATCAAATTTCAAATGACACCAGCTGCTCATCGTGCACATCTCTAACGCTCTTATACTTTCAACCCCAGGGACCAAACTCACCTAACCCCTGAATCCCTTCCTCTCCTCCAGGTAGAAAAGATGCCCCCTGCTACCTCCGAGATAAGGCATTCAAGCACGGAGAGACCTTGATGATCGGATGTGGAATAAAGTGCACTTGCAAAGATCGGTTATTGCGCTGCCAGAACCTCTGCCAGAAAAACATTGACCCGCCCAGCGTTGACTGCCCCTTCCCACGAAAGGTCAAGCTGCCAGGGAAATGCTGCGAGGAGTGGGTCTGTGATGAGCCCAAGGAGCTCTCAACAGTTGGCACTACCCTTAAAAGTGAGTTGTCACCCTCGAAGTCACTGTTGAGATTGCCCCTGTGTGATGTACTCCTGTTAGAAATAGTGAACCTATGGAATAAGTACTAAGTTTGCCAAGGGAAGGGGAATGTGATGTTTACTTCATAGCTGGATTTTTGGTGCTTTGTCCTCATAGATTACCGACCTGCAGACAGGGTTAACCCAGACCCAACGATGATACGACCCGACTGCCAGGTCCAGACGACAGAGTGGAGTGCCTGTTCCAAGACTTGCGGGACTGGTATCTCCTTCCGGACTACTAATGAAAATGCCGACTGCAAGGTGGAAAAGCAGGACCGCCTCTGTATCATCAGGCCTTGCCAACATGACCTGGAAAAGGAAATTAAAGTAACTTAATATTCTGCTTCTATTCACTAATTTTCCTGAAATGAGAGTAGATAGGGCCAAAGTTTAAGTCGCATGCCAGCCTTGTTACTAGAGGCCCATATCTTCCCAATATATCTAACCATTGAACTATTTAAAGGGAATGGGATATTGTGTAATAGGAACCACCAGCTTGCTGCTACAGAATCCTACAGTGTTAGTAAATTTGAGCCATCCTAAGACAGACTGGGTCTATATCTGAAAAACTAGCTAGTGAGACTCAAACTTCCTCCCCTGAAAGCAAAAGCAAAAGCAAGACAAAATGACTGTCAAGTAACACATTATTCAAACAGGCTACTCTTCATGTAAAATCATTCATTTCTTTTCCTTTGTCTTTCTTGAGGAAAAAGGCAAAAGTTGCACCCCAAGCATAAGAATTGATTATCCTATCAAGTTTCACCTATTTGGCTGCACCAGTGTGAAATCCTACCATCTCAAGGTCTGTGGAGTCTGCAGGGATGGCCGGTGTTGCACACCTCACAAAACAACTACCTTGCCTGTGGAGCTCAGGTGTCCAGATGGTGAGATCATTGAGAAAAGCATGATGTTCATTCAGGACTGCGCCTGCCATAAAAACTGCCCTGTACGCAGTAACATTTTCAAGTCGCTGCAGTAGAGGTAGGCGTAGGGAGATAGGATTAAAGCCAGAGAGTGAGAGATATTATCTCAGTAGACTGCAACTTGAACTGATCTCAGTTTTGTTGTTCTTGTTGTTGTTTGGTGCAAACCTGATTTCATTTAGCACAAGTTATTTAAATCTATTTTTCTCATTGGGAAATAGAATTTCTGGCTGAATGAAAACAGTGTGCTCTGTGGCATTCACACAAATAATCTATCAACTCCAGATGCCTGTTTGAAAAAAGTAAAACTTGACAGTGACACCTAATGAGCTCACAACAACATGGTATT